ATTGGCAAGAAAACACCAGTTCAAGGAAGTTTACCTCAACCAGCTGCTAAACCAAATGCACAATAAAAAAAATAAATTCATCCGCACTTATTGAAAATTGAATAATTGTATATGTTTTCACTTATTTGTTTTTTTTTGTTTCGTTGTTTATTGTGTAGTACTTGTCATTTGCATTAATGATTGATTTATTCTTCATTTATGTTTATGTACGAGAACTTGTATCTTTAAAGATGTGTATTCTCTATTCGATATATCGAAATTGTGTTTATGTATGTGTGTGTGCGTGTCTAGTTCATTTGATTATAAGATAGAAATATATATTGAAATAAAATAAGAAAATAGATGAATATAAGTTCTTGATTGATTCGAAGAATTATATGCATAGATTAATTTTAATTGAATATTCATGTTAGAAAGGTTTCTTTTTTTGGGTGGGTGAAATGAAAATTCTGAGTGGGCGGCACCTATCAGTGCCTTTGTCCAACTTTCTTTTTCTGAGTGGGCGAATCAAAATTTTTGTTGGGCGCCACCCATTACATAAAACACGGTGTACAGTCATTAATGACAAACAGATCTTTTTGCTTTCAAATTTAATATTGAATAGTTTTTGGTTGTAATCTGGCAATATTTAGACAGAAGAGAAAAACTTCATTATCAAAATAATTCGTTGCCATGCCTTCAATTCAAATACATATATCTGTTTCTAATAAAAACGATTTATTTTTAGATGGAATCAATAGGAAAATCAAACTAAAAGTTTTTATCTTCTCGTAAAACATGAATTCGATCACCAACACGAATAATTCCATGTTCAATAGTCGAAAGATAAGTTCCAAATTGAGCTTTAACACCGTATAATTCTGGTTTACGACGATATCTATATGATTTAATAAACAACATATTAAAAGAATAAGAATGTTATCAAAAAAAAAAGAATACGTTTGAAGTGTTTTCCATGGTTCTTGTTTTGGATCACGAACACCTGTTTCTTGATTTACAGTTGGTAATAAACATCTTAAATGATATTTATAAATTTTAATTAATATTATTAAATAATTGTTTTATACCTTAAAGCTGATCGAAACCAACGAAGTTTAACTTGATCACCGATTTGAATTTCGCGCCAATAATCCTATATATTTCATCAATCTAATATTTATAAATAAGTATAGGAAATATCTTACTTCACCATATGGTTTATCAACACCACTAACAATAATATTAGGACGAAAGTTGTATATTTTAACTGGATCTTCTAATTTTTTATTAAGATCATCAATTGATTCTAATGAACCTAAATGAAATGGACTCATATCTTGATAAGCTACAACATCAGAATCAAGAGCTTCATTTGGATATTCTGGTTCAATATTTTTTGTATGTTGTGGTTCAAATTGTTCGTCAAAATAAACTAAATCTATTTCAGATGTTTCTAAAAATGTTGAAAACCAATTGGAAACTTTTAGATCATATCGTCGACCTTTAACATTAAGTTCCCTTTTAAAGTAAAAATATTACTAGAACAATCGAAATTCATAATTTATACTCGATGTCAATTACATCATCTGGTAATGGACTATATGGAATAACTAATGGTGTCATTCCAGGTGCATCAACTTGAAGACCTAATGATGTAAATGACGGACGAATTAATGCCATTCGAGAGAGATGACGTTGATTTCTTTGTCGACCATCTTTTACAAGCATCCATCGTCTAGATAGAATAAAGCTTGATGATTAATTTAGCATTTTTAAAATATATGATATTTACCGATCAGATAATAAAGAATTCGATGGAAGAGATAGACCATATTTTGTTGTTTGTGCTTCATTTACTGATATACCAGCACAAGATTTTATCGGATAAATAAGTAATTCTCGAACTTCGATTGCTGATGATGTCATAATAATCTATTAAATATACGAAATTTGTACGAATAAGAAAACATGGAGTGTTTTTCTTTTCTTTTATCATCAAAGATAAAGAACGAATACACTATTATAAACTAATAAACATAGGATAAGGTATTATACTATCTAAAGGTAATAGATATGGACATCTATCGAGTTTTAGACAAAAAAATATTCTGTACGATATAACCCAATAAATAAAATTCAGTTTGACTATGCCTGGATGGCCATCAAAGCTTATCAAAGTTCAACTAAGTATGAATATAGTCGATATTTACTGGAAGATTACTAATTTAAGAAATATCAAAGACTATGCGAGGAATTAATTAATCACGTCTTTTTTTTCTGATAATTGTAGTGATCATTAATTATTATTTATTGATAATATGTATTTCAATTCATATAAAAGAAAATAAAAACATCTTTTGACGATTTCGTTGATTATTAAAACTTGACTTTAGATAAATAAAGTTTAAGAATTCAGTCGTATAAGAAATATTTTTATAACAAATTCATTCGTTTTCAATGCTGTAATAGAAAACTTAGAAATATAAATTATGTGAATAAGGAACATTCCGTACATTTGTGTCAATGATGAAATTACTTTGGTAATTAAAAAGAACAGAATTGATGATGTCTGTCAAATAGACAAAAGTTTAATAGAATCTATCTTTAATATATCATTAACAAACGTAACGATAATGATCGAATATAAAGTGTGTGATAGAACCATTCTGGCAGATACCAACAAGAAAAAATGTCGAACATCCATTTCTATCATGTTTTTTTTAGCACACAGAATACTGATATATATGTATATCGGAGTAAAACGCGACTGTTTTGACTTATTTTTGGTATCTTCAGTAAGACTAATTTGTTGTGTGCCTCTATACTCACTTAGTCAACAACAGACAGAAAAGGAAAAAGAAAAATATATCTATGCATAGAGCAAGAGAAAATACATGATAGTCTGTTTTTCTCCAAATCGCTCTTTCTCATATACTGTTATTCTGTTGATTCTCATTCTATCACAGTTTCTTTACACATTGGAATGATGTATTCAATGCGTGGCGGTGGATATCAACATCCACAAACAACAACAACATCAACTGCCACTTATAATATTTATTATGACAATAATCGACCAACTAATTCTTATCCCATTCCTCAACCTTCTTTCGTTGAACATCGTTCAACAAATCCTCACGGATATTCTCAACATCATTCAGGATTTAAAAAAACGAATATTTCTCAATCAACACAATCACGTCGTATTAATCCTGCATTAACAATAAATCCAAATCAATTACCACCACGATCACATTATCCTCCTCATGGAAAACAAAATAATTTTGCTCGACAAAATACACGTGCAGAGATTGATGATTCTCCAATTATTGATCCAAGTGCTTTTCAATTTTTAAATTTAAATGAACGACGAACAAAAAAGAAGACAGGACCAAATGAAATGGAAAGTGGTATTGATTCACGACCTATAATTAATCTTGATGCTGTTGCACAATTAGAACGACGTCGACAGCAACAATTGGAAAAAAATAATCGATTACGTGGTGATGATGGATCAAAAGGTGGAATTGATGATAGATCAATTGTAGATGCCAATGCTTTCCGTTTTATTGAAACAAGGATGAATAAAAATGAAAGACCAAGTCAACGTATTGCTAGTGGAATTGATGATAGTCCGATTGTAGATCTCAATGCTTTCCGTTATATTGAAGGAAGAACTAATAAAAATGACAGACAAGGTCAAAATATACAAAGTGGGATTGATGATAGACCGATTACAAATCCTGATGCATTCAAGTAATTTATCTTTATTCTTATTCTTAACAAAACAACACTGTTTTTTATAATTGATTTAAGATATATAGATGGTCGACGTCAAAAAAAACTAATCAATCAATTCAACGAACCATCGATTGATAGTCGACCAATTATTAATCCAGATGCATTTCGATATATTGAAAAACGAGATATACCAACAAAGAAAACTATTGAAAGTGGAATTGATAGTAAACCAATTGTTAATCCAAATGCTTTTCGTTATTTAGAAACAAATAATTCTTCTTCACCTCATCGTGATATTTATTCAGGTGTTGATTCAACATCTATAATTAATCCAAATGCTTTTCAATATATTGAAAGACGAACACCATCAAAACGTGAAGCAGCTGAATCATCAATTGATTATCGTCCAATTGTCAATCCACAAGCATTTAAATGGATTGAACGAAAAGAAACAAAACGTCGTGTTGCAGATGGACCTGATGTTGATGAACGTTCATATGTTAATCCACAAGTATTTCGTTATATTGAACGACGTGTAGAAAAGAAAAATAATATTGAGGGTGGTATTGATGAACGATCCTATGTTAATCCAGATGCTTTTCGATATATTGAAGGTTTAGATTTTGATTCAGGAAATAAATCGATACATTCATCAATAGGTCCAGCGATTGATACAAGATCTTACGTTGATACTGAATCATTTCGTCATCTTGAAGATCGTTCTCCAAGACGAACAAAATATAATCGAGATGGTATTGACGATCGATCTTTTATACCATCGAATGCCTTTCGTCATCTTGAATTTGATGATCAATATAGTTATCCTAATGAAATGAATTATGCATCATATGGACTAACAGATCTTTAAATAGTTTATATAGAATAGAATTGTCAACCCATTATATTCTTATTTTAGACATATTTATTTTATTGTAATAAATTGATTTTTAATATATAGTCGTGAATCTTATATTGATCTTCCGATACAAAGGTCAAAGAATTCTACAAGGAATTCATAATGAGAGATTTTCTTTTTCTCAAGACAATCAAATAGTTTTTCATATGATTAAGTCTTTTCAGAGAACGTCTGTATATCTGCTACAACAGATGGTTAACAGAATAGGCAAAAAAAACAGGCATTATTACATTTTGGGTGAGAATTGATATAGGATATATTATTATTTTGTTTTTCTATACATTAATGTATAAATATGTCTTATGCCTTCTGACACTTTATTGTAAAACAACGATCAAAGGCCAAATAGCATAATCGATTTAGGATGTTTTTCTCGTTCGTATTTACTATACTGAAAATAATAAATATTGGCGTTGTTTGCGTATGTTAAGATATTTACATTCTATTTCTAAGATTTTTCTTTTGAAATATTAGACAAGTTTATGCCCTGTCTTACCATTACCGCAGCACGGGTTTTTCTTTTCGGGTTATTGCGAACGAAAAGTAGGTTCATTATGTGGTATTGGATGTAACCCAGGTTATCGACTTGTCGATGGAGATAGTTTTCGTGAATGTCAAGAAGACAAAACTTGGACAGGATATCAACCGAAATGCGAAGGTTTAATATTTTATTTATAACGAATAGATTTTACTGATTATTCTATAGAAATTCAATGTGATCCGTTGAGAAGTAATAGTGATGTAATTCAAGAATGTTTACCTGAACAAGAAAATAGTACTGATTTTAAATTCGGTACAAAATGTCGAGCACGTTGTAGTGAAAATGGTTATCGACTACTTGGACCACATACACGTGAATGTTTGATATTAGGTATATGGTCAGGTTATACACAATTTTGTATTGGTAAGCATTGCAAGTCTAGAGATAAAATGAACAACTGTATTTCTCTTTAGTCAACAATGAAACCACTACACATGTAATGACTAATACAACTTCAATGACACCGTTGATAACAACCATGACATCATATCAAGGTAGGGTTTTCTTTTTAAATGTATTACTATCTTTTGAATTTTGAGAAGATTATTCAAACTATATTTTGAATATCAACAAGAATGATACGGGTATTATTTTATCATCTTTTCAACCATTTCAATTCACTATTATATTTTGGTTCTATCTGGAAAATACTACCAATGCTACATTAATTTCATTACGAAAAAATAATCATGAAAAAGTATTCGAAATTGTTGTTCGACAAAGCAAGTGAGTTGTTTCACATATGAGCGTTTTTTTGTAAGTAATAAATAGACTTGTTTTCTATCATTCATCACGAAATCAAACTCAACCAACTCTTGTTAAAGTTCCTGTTTCAAAATGGAATCATTTTGCATGGACATATTCAATTAAAACAAAACAATCATATTTATATATTGATGGTGCACGACAACACTCATTTGATTTTCGAATCGTGAACTTTGATTTTAAAAGCAAGTGAGCTTTATTAAATTATCATTTCGTTTTATTTTTATTTAATTAGATGTTTCATCCTTGATTTTATTTGGTCAATTATTTCATGGTTATATAACCAGATTAGAAATTTGGAATGAAATAATAGCTGAACAACATTTATTAGTTAGTTATCGAGATTGTCGAAAACAAAATGGGGATATATTTTCATGGTCAAAAATACCGGAAAATATAGAAATTGATACAAAGAAATTAAAAAGTTCCTTATTTTGTTCTGGTAAGAAATTCATTGTTTTTAGTTAATTAAATATGATAAAATAACTGTTGACTAGGTTGTTCTGAACCTGCATCAATTCATGGTGGAAGATATCAGGTATCTGATTATGAAATTGGATCATCTGTAGATTATGAATGTAATTTTGGTTATGAGCTTATTGGTGTTAGTCGTGCGTATTGTATGGTACCATCAGAATGGTATCCATTACCACCAATTTGTAAATGTAAGTGAGATTTCTAGAATGTTTGAACAAAATATATATATAGATGGTTTGTTTTAAACAGATAATCCATGTACAATAAAATGTGAATTATGTGACAAAAAAACTGGTGTTTGCTTAAGACAACAAACGCAATTGAATTCGGATATATGTGATCCTGAATGTGATGACGATGAAGAATGCATTGATGGAGAATGTACATGGACAAATACCGGTAGCAATTGGAATGTAGAAAAAAATGATAATAGTTGTAATCCACCATGCCCATCGGGGATACAATGTATCAATCGAAAATGTGAACACAATTTAGCACCTTATTGTCCGGTATCATGTCGACCTGGTCAAGTATGTATAGATGGTAAATGTGGCTGTTATAAAGGCAAGTCAATAATTAATTATTAATGGAATTCGATCATATTTCTATTGTATTAGGTTTATGTGAACATGATCGTGGATGTTATGAAGTTTGTGAAATAGGTGAACGTTGTCATAATTCGTCATGTAGTTGTGGATTACAAGGTAAATGCGGTAAAGGTGAACTATGTGTATCGGATATATGTATGTGTGGTACACGGCGAAATGGTTGTCGTCCTCATGAACATTGTATTAATGGAAAATGTGTTTGTAAAACAGATTTTTGTGATGAATGTGGTAATACATGTAAATCAAATGAAATTTGTTTAGATGGTAAATGTGTTTGTAATGAGAGATGTGAAAACGGTAAAATATAAAAAAATTTGTTATCAAAATTATCTATATATATGTATATATTGTAGTATTTTGCCCATTTCCATGTTTGAATGAAGGACGATGTACAGGTTTTTATCAATGTACTTGTCGACAAGGTTGGAGTGGACATCGATGTGAACAATGGCAAAGAAAGAATATTACTATATACTAAATAAAACAAATTTTTTCTTTTTTATTTATTGAGAAAAAAATAGAAATAACAGATGCGGTACAATGAATGGCCGCATTTTTGTATCTTATTTTTTCATCAATAAATTTCCTTTATCAAAAAACAAATATATACCAAAAGATGGGCGTGGGTGAAGGTTTGGGTGGGTACTTGAAGGGATAGGTGAATTCAAATTTCAAGTTTGACACTATTGCCAAATTGTAAAGCGAAAAAGAAAGATAAGATATTTTCAGATCATCAGAATTAACAACTGCTGATCGTTTTCATACAATTATTTTAACAAACTACCTTTCACAATTTTTATTTAAATATCTTTTATTAATTGAATTCAAAGAATCTGAAGAATTAGAAATATTTTAGCTGTTAAATCGATTGATTAATCAACTGCATTTACAGTTTCAAAACTCTAGCATCATGAATGCACCATTTTATTTTATCAATTAAAGACAAAGATATAAATGTATTTGAATTCACTCGAGAATTAGTTCCAAAATCCATCAAAGATTCAAGTAGAGGATGTATTAGTTCTTGTTTACTATAAATAAAAGAAGACGTAGTGAGTCTTTTGGTATTTGAGCTCTAAAAAATATACATTTTCTTTGAGCTTGGTCAAAAATGTAACTGTATAGATAGTTCCTTCGACTGAGAGGAAGGTCATACGAAATAATACAGTTTAGTTATTTGTCGGAGGATCAAAATACGAAAAAAATATCATCCATCGAAACTTCAGCATACTCATTTAATCATAGGTTTTCACAATCGAGAAATTCAAATTGATTATGAACTTTTCTACATAGTTTTTTTAGGTTGATTGTCTGTAAAGAGAATACCAGATAGATCGAAAGTTACATTAATCGACGTGCTGCAGTGAAAATGAATAGTACGACATATGGTCTCGTCAAATTGAATACCAAATAAATCAATATTTACATTTGCTGAAAATATACAGAGATTACAAATAAACGTATAAATTAATTGTATAGTTCTTTTTTCGAGAACTATTTATCAGAATAATAATTACTATTATTAGTTCTATAACATTCAATAGTCATTTATAACTGCTACATATTTTCTATGATTTATCTCGAAAATAGCACATTTCACGAAGATAACAATCTTAATAATAGATATGAATTAAACACAATGTTTTGATTGCACTTTATTTTTCATGACAAAACAAAAACAACCTGCAATGTATTGAGAGGAAAATAGAGATAGAGAGAGAAAAAAAATCACTTATTAGAATGCTTTGCACATTATGTTTATGTTATTTTTTTTGTTGTGTTCTATTTACAAATAATAAATAGCAAGAAAAGAGAGATTTTTTATATTTTTGATCAATTATGTTACGTCAACGGCTAAAAAAAGGAAACGTACAGATGATTGAACATATTTTGCTCGATTAACAAACAAAAAAATAAGGAAAATGAGAAAGAAGCAAACAGACAACTAGAGAAAGAAATAACAAAACAAGAGAAAAAGAGAACATATTTTAGCTTTTTAAAAATTTGCTTTAAAAGCTTGTTTTTTTTAAATTCGTTTTCAAACAGAGAAAAAAAGATGAATAAATATATTTATGTATATATGTATTTAGTCTACTCTTTTATCTAGTTTGAGAGAACAAGAATGTAGCATATATATTGTAATAAATATATATGCATGTTCAAAGATAAAGAGAGAGAATGATAAAAAAAAGAAGCGAGAAAGATTCATCCATTGTTTCTCTCATACATTCGTATATTTGAAAATCTGACATGTTTTTGGTCTAAAAATGAATAATATAATTTTTTTTGTAGTTTTAAAGATTTAAATATACCTTTGACTGGAAAAACTTTTCTTAGGTGGTGTTCGACCACGATTAACTGGTTTTGTTTCATTTGTTTGTTGATTATTTATTCCATTAAGATGCTGTTTCCTATTCTTCACCTTCTTTTTGATCATTAGTACTTATTGAATGATGATGAAAATTATTATTATTACTACCACTTCCATTGACTATTGGTTGTCTTTGTTGTTAATTTTGTATAATTGATGCATCACTACGCTTAGAATGTTTATTATTTGTTGAAGGTTGTTGTTGATAATGTTCATTCGAATAATTATAACGATTATTATAATACCTTTATATATAAATAAGAATAATATATAGAGAAATGCGAAAATGAAAACTTACTGCTGAGGATGTTCATAATAATAATAATTACTGGATAGACCATGTGTATGTGAATTACGACCACCATGTGCTACTCGACGAACTGAACCATAATAATTATGTGTACCAGACATTTGCATTGTATCGAATTCTAAATAAATATTTAGATCCGATTTTCTTCTTGAATTATTGCTAATTTATAAATTAAAAGTGATCACTTCTAAAACATGAAGGATAATATGAAAGATTACCTTACATTGCTTTGGCATAACTATTTCTATGACGTGGAGCTTGTTGATTTTGCTATCGTTGATTTTGATGATAGTTTTGTTGACCTTTATTTGCACGTCGTTTAGTATTCGCTGATGGTGTTGTTGTTTTTTTTATTTATTTTTGTTGATTCATTTTCTATTTGTACAACATTAGTTTCATAATCATTTTTTATTGCAACTTTTTCACCTGATATGCCATTACTGGAATCATTTGATTTTCCAATTTCTTTTGCCAATACTTCCGTTGTTGAAGTTAATATAGATATTTCATTTGGTTTTTTTATTGATACTTCTTCATTAGTTGTCTTCGATATCTCTAATGAAGAATTAGTCTCATCAATAACTGATGTTTTTGTTTGTTCAGATGATTGATTCGTTTTTTTTATTATTTGTATTTGTACGATTTGTAGAATTCTTTTTTTGTGGTGCTCCATTATTTGTGGTATGTGCTGATGATGATATATCAGATGTATTATAAGTTGTATATTGTTGTTGATGGATTTGTAAATTTGAATCATAATACATATTTTCATTATCGTAATGTGACGAATTTATATGATTAGTAATTTTATATAATTTTTGCACTTGTATTTACATCAGATCATACACTTATTAATGGTGATAGAGATGTTGTATTTATTGTTTGATATCGTTGTTTATGATTATTGATATGTGTTCGTTATTGATAAGATTCTGATTGACGACGATCATTTATTTGTTGTTGAGATTTATACATCATTGATTCTTGTGGTGTTTAATCAATAGATTTTGCTGGATGATTTGAATACAATGAACACCATACTGGTTGAGTTTTATTATCGATAGTTTTATTTAATGTCGACGAATTTTGTTTAAAACACGCATCTAATTGAATTGAAAAATAAAAAAAAATGAATAAATATTCAAAATGAATAATGAAATTCACTTTTTTGTTGTCGATCATTATTACGTGTTTTGTTGTTGACGGTTGTTTATTACAACGATTTGGTTTTTGTGTAGAAAGATTATATAAATGTAATTGTTGACGATCTTGTTGATGATTATCTATTCACTCGACCCAATTATCTCATTGATCATTTGAATCATCATAATAATCTATACTATCAAGTTTATTAGAT